TCAGCCACAAGATGACTCATGTAGGTTCATAACGCTCTAGCCTACAGCTTGACCTTTCACCGAGCAGTTTTCTCGTTGTCGCATCAGACTTGCCCCCAGTGATGCAACTTGTCACTGAGCTGATTGGTAAAGACCACCACGTATTCTGCTGACTATATCATCCACTTCTGTTCGGTATTGGGTCGCCGCTGTGTGGATCCAGGCCGTTCTGGGTGGAACATTTACTCTTATTACGTCTGCAACCCTGTACTTGAGTACAGCCCCCAAATCCACATGGTCAGATGTTCATCCGGCTCTTGGGGCTCTGATATAGGCGCCGTCAATACAGCACGCGATGTTGCTGCCTTGGTTGATACGCTTCAGCCTGGGATTTGTGGAAATGTGAGGTGACAACTATTATAAAATCCAGAAGCGTGGCTCGCGTCGACAAGCATACGACGCGTCTTGAACTCTGGATTCCCCTTCGAGATGAGTTAGATGTGGCCATAACGTTACACAATTCCTGAAGATAAGTATTTGGGGTGGAGGCAGAGGGTGGAGGTGGGTCTGATGGTCAGATGATCATTGATATACCGAGTGCGGCGTGAAATCGTTTGCGACTGAGTGCGTGGTCTGTTCTGTTTCCACGGGAGAGTAGTGAATGGAGGAAATGAGAGACATGGGAAGGAGTAAGACAAGGGTAGTCGAGCGAAAGGAGAAAAAGAATGATGGCATGTCTCCGCCTGACCAGCCAAGGCCCAAGACAGCTGAGAATGCGTGGTAAAGTGGAGTCACCCGCCCAGCAGCCTCACCCCTCTGCCGGTACTGCACCAATTGCGGCACCGGCGAGGGTTTACAATAAGGTTATCCGCCGGCTATCGTATCAGCATCCTCTCGTTTTGTGGGAATGCGTTATGTGCGGCATCTGTCGACAGTCACTTGGTCACTGGGTCAACTTTATGTGAATCAATCCTCCCCAATCCCCAATGATTAGCTTCCATCGGCAGAGACCCAGACCACGTATGTCACGTATCTATGATTATCAATGCGGCCCGCTGTCGAGACGCGGTGTCTGACGAGAGATGGTGGCAGACCTATGTAGACACGATTCAGCAAAACCACGTGCTTCTCGACCGACCACCGAGCATGCTTAGCAATTACAGATGCATGCTTATTCGCGATATTCGAAAACTTCCACGCGCACGAGGACGGCGGAAAGAGGCGAGCAAAGTTCAAGCCCCATCGAAGACGGCGGCAAGGGAGCGAGAAGCTGAAGAAGGCGGTCGCAGACTTGCAGGTGGCAGGTGGAAAGCGGCGGAGCGGCGGGCCGGCTCTTCTGAGCGATACGACGCGACCCTGGCCGGCACCGAGACTGGCAAGATCCGGGAACATCGGCCCAGGCATCTGGGAACCATGCAAAGTGGCGGGACGCGATGCACCTGGAAACACGTCGTGGCTTGATGAGGGAAGAAGATTGCAGGAATATTAGAAGCCCGCGAGCCGCGGGCCAGTGGCTAGTGGCAACTGAAGACTCCAACCCGCCATCCTGCTCTTCAAAGTTCAAGGTAAGCAACCAATACTATCAGATGATGTTGTTGATGAGAAAAGCCTCCAGGGCCATCAGCCGAAAGCCAAAAATAGGCAAAGAGCCGATTCTCAATCTCAAACAACGCGTTACTTCTCGCGACCGCACGTCGCGTACTCTCGTCAGCTTTTCGTGAGAACATGAATCCTGCTTTACTTCCCGGCGCGCTTGGACAGATCGAAGACGGCAATCGCGAGCTGGCTACACATGGTAATCAGAGATCCAGGCGCGTATGTAGCAGGTGGGCCTCCATAATGCTTTACCACACACACCTCATGGAACCCCTGCGAATTGCGACGCCCGAAGAGGACTCTGGCGGCGTCCAAAGTCGGCGAGCTGTGCGATCTTTTCTCAGACGCCCAGGGCGATCTCGAGCCTGGTCCCTCGAGGCTCGAGCAGAGGCCGGGAGGGAAAAAAGAAAAAAGTGGTCAGGGATGTCGACCGGCGGCAGGGAGAGTCGGGATCTCTTGGATGTGGTGAGATGCCGGCAGCAATTGCATGGGGCACCTGGGGCACACTGCAGAAAAGCAGGGGCCCAGCTGGGGACTCAGGAAGAGGACCAAACACCCCCCGGCTTGGCAGCGCACATAGCCGGAAATTCGGCGAGAAAACCAAATATTCGGAAAGAGGTCAGCTGACTTGGGGCGCATCAGCCAATGGGACGGGGGGAGAGTCGGATAATTGGTGATCGAGCGAGGAAATCCAGGGCACCCGTTGTGCCCCGCGTGCCCCGCCATGCCCCATCCAGGCACAGGCACGGGCCTTTCCGCTGCTTGTTTCTTTCTGTATGCGGCTGGCTGGATATATAAGGGCTGCGTTCCCATCTCATCCCCGCCTCTCTATCCTATCTATTCTATCCTAGTCTATCCCAACCCACACTCACAAGTAAGCACCCCCTCCCGCACTGACCTTCGCTTGACCCCCGCTGACATCCCCCAGTGGGCAAGCCATCCTCTCTCCGCGGACGTTCCGACATCCTCACAGACAACACCTCCCCCGAGCGGGTCGAGGCCCCCGTCACAATGAAGGCCTACCTTCTCTGTGTCTTTGCCTCCTTTGGTGGTATCTTCTTTGTACGTCCGCCGGCTTCTCTTCTCTCTGATAGCTGGCTGACGTGACCCAGGGTTTCGACTCGGGTTACATGAACGGTGTCCTCGGCATGGACTACTTTATCAACATGATGACTGGTCTTCCCATTCCTGGCGCCGACGCTAGCGCCTCCGAGATTGCTGCTTTTGCCCTTCCTGCCTGGAAGAAGTCTTTGATCACTTCCATCCTTTCTGCCGGGTACGTCTCCACATCTCAACGTGGATACCATTAACAGTTTCCACAGTACCTTCTTTGGCGCCATCATCGCTGGTGACTTGGCCGAGTTCCTTGGTCGTCGTATAACCATCGTTGCCGGCTGTGGTGTCTTTATTGTTGGCTGTGTGCTTCAGACCGCCAGTACTTCCCTTGGTCTCGTACGTCGCCTCTTGTCTTTCCGCTTGCTTATGCTAACCCTATCTCAGCTCGTCGCCGGTCGTCTCATTGCTGGTTTCGGTGTCGGATTCATCTCTGCCATCATCATTCTCTACATGTCCGAGATTGCCCCCCGAAAGGTCCGAGGTGCCATCGTCTCTGGCTACCAATTCTGCATCACCATCGGTCTCCTCCTCGCCAGTTGCGTGTGTTACGCCACCGAGAACCGAACCGACAGTGGCTCTTACCGAATTCCCATCGCCATCCAATTTGCCTGGGCGTGAGTCTCCTACTCTCGATCTTGACTCCATCTAACTCATCCACAGTCTCATCTTGGGTACTGGTCTCATGCTCTTGCCCGAGTCCCCTCGATGGTATGTCAAGAAGGGTAGGGTTGAGGAGGCCACCCGGGCGCTTTCCAGAGTCCGAGGCCAGCCGGTCGACTCCGACTACATCAGGGATGAAATCACCGAGATCGTCGCCAACCACGAGTACGAGACCGAGCTCATTCCCAACCAGACCTACTTTGGTTCTTGGGCTGCTTGCTTCTCTGGTGGTATCCGAAACCCTCAGTCCAACCTTCGTCGAACCATCCTCGGTATCACTCTCCAGATGATGCAGCAATGGACTGGTGTCAACTTCATCTTCTACTTTGGTACCACCTTCTTCACCGACCTCGGCACCATCTCCAACCCCTTCTTGATCTCCCTCATCACCACCCTCGTCAACGTCTGCTCTACCCCCATCTCATTCTACACCATTGAGCGATTTGGTCGACGACCTCTCCTCATCTGGGGTGCCCTCGGTATGTTGATCTGCGAGTTCATCGTCGGTATCATCGGTGTCGCCAAGCCCGGAGACTCTACTGTCGTCAAGGCCCAGATCTCCTTCATCTGCATCTACATCTCCTTCTTTGCCTCCACTTGGGGTCCTGGTGCTTGGGTCTGCATCGGTGAGATCTTCCCCATCCCCATCCGATCTCGAGGTGTCGGTCTCTCCACCGCCTCCAACTGGTTCTGGAAGTGAGTCCTTATTCTTCTCTTGCTTTGAGCTCGACTGACGATATATCAGCTGTATCATCGCCGTCATCACCCCCTACATGGTCAGCACCGACCAAGGTAACCTCGGTTCCAAGGTCTTCTTCATCTGGGGTTCCACTTGTGTCATCTGCTTCATCTATGCCTACTTCTTCGTTTGGGAGACCAAGGGTCTTACCCTCGAACAGGTCGACAGGATGATGGAGGAGTGCGGTACTCCCCGACGATCGCCTGGATGGAAGCCCCACACCACCTTTGCTGCCGAGGTCCTCGGTGCCCACGAGCACGGCGGTTTGGAGAAGACTGGCAGCGTGGAGCAGCACGAGAAGGCTCCCGCCCCTGCCCACGTCGTATAAGGGATTGTGTCTTGGGCTCATTCGATACAGGTAGTATAATCATGTAGAATCTTTTCTTGTCATGTATTCCAAGGTTATCCGGTTCACAGTGATGTCTGTTGTGATTGCTCCTGTTTAAAAGTTGGCCGATCTTGTAATGTCTGTGCGTACTACATATGAGCACTAGATGGAGTTGGTATCCATGTATATCGAAGGGAACAGGAGGGCTGAGGAAGAGAAAAAGAGGCTCCAGCAGGAGTAAATGCAGTGGTATTGTATGCTTCTGACGAGCATGCTGGCCCAGCTATATGTTGTCCGGAGTCAAGTCACGAGACAACTCATCAGACAGCTGAGCCATGAATCTAAGGCAGAGGTACTTGTATGATCGGCCACGAGAGTCGGGCGAGGAACGTGATTTCTTCTGTGGCGCCGCAGGCATGTGTTTCTGGGAATCAAGGCCCCATCAGATACCAGCTTCCGACATGCCTCGAGCTTGAACCTAGAATGGCCTGATGTCAGCCGACGTAGATCTGCCAGGTCTTAGTGTGTGTAGAAAAGATCTGCGACAGCTGTGCCAGAAACCCGGATCATGCACCTAGTATGGTTATGGAAGAATCTGCATTTTTTTTTATTTGTACAAGTGACTCAATGAGGTATGAAACGCTTTTGAATTCAACGCAGGCAATGTTCTGGGCAGAAGAAAGAAGACATTAGGTTCAGGCCTTGACCTTTTTGGAGGCCTCGGCAGCGAGACGGATAGCCCAGGTAAGCCTATCACTATCAGCATCTATTCCTGGCGGGAGATAGCAATACTCACTCGTAAGACTTGGTGGCATCCTCGAAAGATGAAAGGATGTGGGGGTCGGGTCCACCCTCGATAGCGTCAATGAACGAAGAGACCTCAGAAAAGAAGGGGTCGTCGTCGGTAAAGTGGTGTCGCTCCTCATGGTCGTCTCCGGGTCGTCGGACGTAGAGGGCAGGAGAGTTGTAAGGGTCGACAAGCCTCATGTGGAAGCCTGTATATTCTATAAGCGCATGGTATAGATATGGAAAAGTACTCACCATCAGCCCAGACTTCAAGCTCGCAAGAGTAGTCGTGGCCCTGGAGAGCGACGGCGTGTTGGAAGGAACCACAAGCACCATTGTCGTACTTCCAGATGGCGGTGGTCAAACGGGGAATACGGAGCTCTTCGTCAATCTTGCTCTCGTCGATGGGAATCTTGGAGAGCTTTCCGGGATCCTCGTACCACTCGACGGAACGGGCGCTGTGGCATGTCAGCGCTTCCCGAAAAGAATGAAGAAGGAGACTCACACAACAGTGTCAATGTCGACGTCACCACCAAAGTACCTGGACAAGTCACAGAAGTGGGTGCCCTGTTCGATGACGGGTCCCATGTCGATAGCCTTGTTCCACCAAGCAGGCTTGGCGATAGCCTCGTAGGCACACGAGTATCGGGCGTTGGTGGCCATGACGGTGAGATTGTTGTCGTGGATGATCTGCTTCATCTTTTGCACGCAACGGAGGTATCGGAGCATGTAGCCGACGGAAACAATGTTGCCATTGTCAATGAGCTTTTGGGTGACGGCCTTGGCGGCTTCTACAGTTCCGGTACCGACGGGCTGAAGGGGTGTTAGTTGAGTGGAGAAAATGAAACGAGTGACACACCTTTTCAATGAAGAAGGCAGTCTTGGGGAAGAGCTTGATGAGCTGGATCTCAAGATCGGTGCCCTTGGTGGTACCACCTCGGTAGGCAGGGGGACAGCCGACGACAATGGCGCTGTACACCTGTTAGGCATGTACGTGCAATGTATGAAAGTACTCACTGAGGGTCGTACTGGTTCTTGGCGCGGAGGTCGGCGTGGTAGTCTTCGATAGTCCTGTACACCTTGGTGTCCTTGTAGGCCGACTCGACAAAGGATTGACGCTTGCCGTCAAGGACCGCTTCGGATCGACCGATAGAAGGGTCGATGAGGGCAGTGACCTTGAGTCGTGGACCAAGCTTGTGCTCGAATCGGAAAGAGTGGCTGGGGTGCAGTGTCAGTCAACGTGTCGAGTGCCAAGCGAGACGCGGACTCACTTCCAAGGACCCTCGTCTGAACCAAACATGATGTTCTGACACCAACGTCAGCAGTAATAGACACGCGATAGGGGCAAGACTCACCCCGGCACCAATCATGACGACGTTGAAGTCCTCGCCAGGCGAAGGGGGAGGGTAGCTGAACATTGCACCGTCAGGGGCCATAGCGGTGACAGCGATACCACGGGATTGGGGCGGGGCGAGGAGGGGGATGGCGGGTGGGGCATGACGGGGGAGGAGGGGGGTGGAGGTGGAGAGGTGTCGTGGTTGGTGTCGGAGTTGGGCGAGGGTTGGACGGGCGGTGGTGGAGAGGTTGCGTATTGAGTGGGGGCCGAGGCGGATGAGGGGAGGGAGGCAAGGGCCGGCGAGGGTGCGGAGGTTGGGGTGCATTGTGGGGAGGAAAGCGAAGTGAAGAGGAGATAGAAAAGTGGACAAAGGGATATTTTATAGCGACGACGGCGAGTCACGAGGTGAAAATTGTTTGGTGCCAGGGGTAGTTCAAGGTTACGGATCCAAAGGAGGATCGACAGAGCGGCGCACAGAGGGACGGCGGACAGCGTGCGGCGTTTACAGCGAGCGTGTGCAGCGAGGGACGGAGGGAGAAAGGGAGAGTCGTGGCCGGACGGAGCAGAGAGAAGAGGGGAGAACGCAGAAGAAGAGGGAGGAGAGGGAGGAAGAGGAGGAAGAACAGATGCCAAAGGAAGGGACGAAACAGCGAAAATTGCGCATTTGGCGAGGCGAATTGGTCGGACAAGGAGCAGGAAAGGAGAGACCGTCAGCATGCATTCATTCGCTCGTGGTACAGCAGACTCACGTGTCCATCCTCACACTGCGGTCGACATTGATACCACTGTGCGGCGCCTCCTCGGTGCCTCCATCGCCCAGGGGCTGGGAGACTTCGAGGCGGCTGACAGGGGAGGTCGCGAACGAGCGGGAGAGCAGGGGGCCACGGGCGAGGGCGGCGCTGGCTTTGAGGGAGGGCGCTGGGGGACGGGCAAAGGTGGAGAGGGGCGAGCGGGCGAGGGGCGCGGTCGGGACACGGGCGCGCAGGAGGGAGGCTCTGAAGGACATGGCTGGCTGGGGGGATGAGCGATGAGCGAGGGGCAATGGATGGACGAGATGCTCACTCTATATGCGATCGAAATGGGCGTGGGGGGGTCCTTTGATCACAGATACACATTTTCATAGCCCACATCATTCGGCCCGGGGCAACGCAAACGTCATCACACGTGGCACCTCCACTCTTAATTTAGCTCCCGTTCATCTGCCTCCACCCTTCACCCTCTTGCACATCACGCATGGATTACTCGTGCATAGACATCTACCATCTACAGTCACCCTACATACACCCCCACCCCGCATATCAACACAGAATAGAGAGATGCCACGACCGTCAGCTCATTATACACTTCACTTACGGTGGTTCCGCCAGCAGATCATAGATGCACATGCCGGCTCGAGATCAGATACTTGTCAGTGTGTGAGACACAGCCAAAGATGTCGACGTCGACAGCTTGACTCCCGAAGGAGCCACAGATCATGCAGCCAGACACATGAGAAGACAAGGGCGTCAGGAGCGAGAAGGGACTGGCACGGACGGGGCTGGAACGTCATCAGCAAGAGCCAATCGACACACCGTTCGACTCACCAAAGATCACTCCCGCTTCGCCCGCTTACTCTCACCATCCTCATCGTCATCATGTGATCTCTTTGACAGTGTCGTAGCCTCATCCCCAGCAGCAGCCCCGGTATCTTCCTCAGGCGCCGTCCGTTCTTCATCATCATCCAAAGTCTCTTCGTTCGTGGCGTAGCCTTCTTCTTCAGCATATTCGCCCTCTTCCCCCTGCTCATACCCTTCCTCCGTTTCTTCTTCATACACATCGTCCTCATTGTATTCTTCGTCCTCGTAGTCGTCTATATGGTCGTCAGCACCTGACCCCAACATCTAGAAACGACTGACCTTCTGCGGTGAGGTCGATCACATCGTCAGTGGACACCTCAGGCGGGACAAACCCACTCTCCCCATCAGGTAAAGGCTCCGTAGACTTGATCTCCTCATTCACCAACTTTTCCGCTTCATCCACACCCACTTCACTCTCTTCTGGAATCGCACTAGCCTTCGCAGGAGCCGAAATGTCGCGCGCCTTCGCCTTGGCCTGATCCACTTCCGACGGCGTTAGAGAGCTATCCTCAGCCGGCGTGTTGATGCCACTCGGAAGGGGCACGGTCGCATCGGGTGTCGAAGGCGGTAGCGACACAAGCGGGGTGGAAATACCAGATACGAGAGGGGTCTCTTGTCTCAGAACACGATCGTGCTCTGGCCTCAAAAGCGCAATCTCGTCCTTGGGGACTGTGTCCTCGCGAGTCGGATTGATACTGTCAAGGAGCACAGACGGTTCCTCTGCCGTCAAAAGAGTCTTTTCAGAGCTTTCTACAGTCGTTTCTGGTTCCATTTGTGCGGCAGGTTCTTGATGATCAGTTTCTTCTGCTTCAAGTCAGCATCATACTTTATATGCCCGAAAGACTCACCTTCTTCGGCCCACCCTTCACCGGCCTCCCCCGCAGCGTCTTCGTCATACTCTTCATTCTCCGCTGTTGCTTCGTCATAGTGTTCATCGTCAGCACCAGCTTCAGCAATTTCTTCAAAGGAGTTAGCAACATGACCTTTCAACCCGGAATGTCTGGCGCACCTTTGGGGGGAGATTTCGGGCTGGTAGAACCCTCGGCGACCCTTTTAGGCGCAGGATACACCACTTGTCGCTCATGGTCAGTCCCCTTGTAATACAATTCTTCAGTAGCTATGACCAGACGTCAGTCAATTGAGAGTTGGACCTAGAATGACTCACGCTGGGCCCTAGCATCAGCCCAATTGGGGTGTGCACGTTCAAGAGCTTTTGGGTCGTCGCCAGGGGTGGAGTCTGCATACTGAGCCTTGTCTAGAGACGGGTCAGCACACGCATGCACCAAATGTCAAAAGACTCACCATCTGCTTTGGGATTGGCCGGGCTGGCTTCTTGGCCTTCCTCTCCTTCCTGCGGTCCCGTCTCTTCATGGTGATACTCTCGGTTTTCCTCATACTCCGTACCCTCTTCATAGACTTCTTCACCCTCTTCATACTCGTCCCCACTGCCAATAGCTGAAGAATCGCTCTTGCTGCGCATCATCTCGAGCTCGGACTGTATAGCGTTGAATCGCGTTATGAATCTGGACGGTTCCCAAGTCAGGTACAACTGGACGGGTTCAGCCAATTCACAGCCATGGTAGAGAATGACGAATTCCAGAAAAGTGATGGATTGAATGTTGACATCATCCTGGACACCGTCAGCTGCACGAATACCACGGCCGTGGAAGACTCACCTCGGCCATCTTGAGATCCATGGCTTTCTCGGTGATGATCATCCCATCGCCTGCCCCTTGTATGAGACCCTCTTTCGCACATTCCGCTCGAATAGCAGCCCAGACGTCATACAAGCTCGCCTCGGCCAACTCGAGCTGCCGATCTTTCAGCCAGACGGCGACTTGTCCCGGGTCGCTCTCGATAGGGCTGAACAATGCTCGGACAGCTGGGCCTGTGGGGGAGGAAGCGAGGGGAGGGAGGTGTAACAGGATGGATGGGAGGTTGTCTGCTGTGATAGGCTCTTCTTCATCCCCTTCGTCGTATTCGTCCTCTTCTTCATTACCATCGCCATTATCATTGGCATGTCTCTCTTTCGGGTGCCCAGGGGAACCAGAGGCAGGGACAGTCTCCTTGGTTGAAGGCGGCATGGCAGCGTCATGTGCAGTTGATTCGGATTCGAGTGGCGGCTGTGCGTCGACAACTCTGTCATCACCCTCTCCCTCCGGAAGACCACTACTCAAAGGATCGTCCCCTTCATCTTGCGCTTCAGTCTCAATCACGGGATCAACATCCTCATTTTCATATGACTGGGCAGTAGGAACAACGACAGAAGCATCAGGCGCTGGCGAAGCTGCCCGCATCTCGAGCTCGTGTGTGAGCGGGGGCGGGAGCGATCCCTCGGCCGCAGGGGCCGGCGATGCAGGACGCATTTCAAGCTCGGGTGTATGAGAGTCGCCATGCACCACTTCCCCATCTGGAGCAGGAGCAACGACGTCCATTTCGCCGGGTCCGGCTTGGAAGGCGTCGGGTTTCGGTGTGGGAACGTCCATGTCGATCTCTTCTTCAAACACCTCTTCTTCCACGACGACAGCGCCGTCTTCACCCATAGTTTCATCACCGTCATCCCCTTCATGGGTTTCTCCGGTCCATTCGCCAGACGGAGCTTCTTCTTCCATGCGTTCGTCTTCGGACCATCGGTCAACGTCGATGTCCATAGCGGCGGGTCGGTGTGTGTCTGGGAGGTGCGAGAGTTGCGGGTGTGCGGGGTATGGCGGGGCCTTAGGACTGGAAGAGAGGGTCGATGGGTGCGTGATAGCTGGCTGGAAATGGAACAGAATGTGAATGAAATGTAAGCGGATCTGAATTCGAAGCGGATTCTATCAAGTCTAATTTAAATGGGGAGACAACTTAAACGGGAGGTGTTACTAGCGTTGACTGTTAAGTGAGGCTCAAGATGGGTTCAGAAGTTGTTGTGCCAACGAGTCGAGACTCGGGAAGCAACAAAGGCTGGAGCGAGTACCAAGTCGTGTCGGATGCTCAACACTCTTGCTCAATTCTAGCCTCTGTATACAGTGTTGTCATGTCTCTTTCTCCGAAGAAGACCACCGCGCCCGCGTATGGTGGATGTCACAGCGGAAGGTGTATGCCCACTCTAATTAGATCCTAGATATCGAGGTGCCATGCAGCAGATGACAGAGCAATCTGTAAAGCAAAAGACCCAAAGTATGCATATACAACAGAAAAATGGCGTAGGAGGTCGTACTGGAACGATGTCACAGGTCATGCGATTTGCGGACGGGGAGAAACTTGACAGGGTGTCTTTGGAGATACGGCCATGGGATAACTGTGGCCTGGAAGAGTGTAAGAGTCAGCACAGGTCTCATGGAGGCGTACGAAAGGTCGCTCACGATAAGCAAAAGTCCAAGCCCATAACCAAAGGCCTGGAGGCCCATCATCACGGAGCTCCAAGTGAAGGAAAGGGCAAACGACAGCAGCTGCCATACCAGGTATCGATAAGATGATCGTACAATATGGACTCGGTAGCTTACGGTGAGCACGGCGAGATATGTCTGGGCATGGGATGCAATCATCTCCTGGGAGCGATGGTCCTGCACGAGCTTGGTCAGTGCTGCATGTGGGCAAGGGGCTACAGCTTACGATGCGGCCCTCGAGGGCCTTCTGGAGGAAGGGGGCCAGGATATCCATGTTGATCGATGCGTATAGTGGATGAGATGCCAAGTGCCACAAGAGGCAATAGCCGAGAATTAGTGCTTACGTTATCAGGCAGGTGACGTCACTAAATGAGCGTGGTCGTCATCACTTCCGCATTTGGACGTCTCCCCGCCCATGATATCTTCAACGTTATAATCCAATCCATCTCTCATTCTCATCTCCATCTCGGCGCATCTCATCTCTGCCCTTATCTCCATTTGCCCACCACGGCGTCCGAAGCAGTACAACTTGGCCTCGTAGGCCTCCTCACACGGCCCGTCCTCAAAGCAGTCTTTCCCTCCGAGAACCCCATCTCGTCCCACACCCCTGCCTCCCCAGTGTCTACTGGAGCGACTTCCCCCTCCTACACTCACTCTCCCACCGCTGCCGGCCCCCCTGTCCTGCACCCAGCGATAGAGCCGCCCAAAGCACGCGAGCAGGCCCCCCTCGATTTCCCAGAGCCCACTCTCCGGCAAGACATTGAGCCGTTGGCCCCCGCCCCCGAGCATCCCAGTCCAATCCAGGCCCCAGTCTCCAAAGACGAACCTGTGGAAAGTCCGGCTATCGATCAACCAACTGAACACGCCACACACACAAACATGGCCGTAATCGCCCCCCAGCACCAGCTGGACCATGACAGCGCTCTCGCCAACCAAGCTTCCGCTTTGGATCTCAATGACCGTCCCGCTAGTCGTGCCACTCAGCGAACAGCACCCAAGACCTACCAAGGCGGCCCTGGCTACGGGCCGTGGTCTGCTCAGTCTGAACAAGAGCCTTTGCAGGCTCAAAGGACTGGCCCGCAATTTGCCTGGAGTCAATACGATGAAAGGGAATTGCAGAATGGTTACGGTGGCGACAACCAGGTCGCCTTGGGTTCGGCTCTTGCTGCCGATCCTTCCGAGTTTAGAGAGGAGGGTTATGAAGAAGAGAAACAGCAACGACCCGCGTAAGTACATGCTTATATGGACGTTCAGTGGCTGACTTGCCGCCAGTTTCAACCAAACCCCCTCTAGGTCGTATGTCAACGCTGTCCCTATTGTCACCAACTATGAGCCACAGCTCCCGGCCGCCTCGGCGGGAAACAGGCGCTCAGTGGCCGGGTCCACCAAGGCCCCCAGCGTAAAACGCGCTTCTTCTCGAGCCGGATCCATTGACGGTACCTCTCCTGTCAAGTCCCAGTCAAAGCGTGCGTCCAGAGCCGGTTCTGTGAGATCCAGCAAGGGCGGGTTCAACAATGGCGGCGTCAACAATTTCGCTGCCGTCGACCATCATTCCAACGGCGGCGGCTACGAAGAGCCCCATGCGGCGCAAAACATTTCTCGTCCCCTCTCCCGAGCCGCCTCTACTCGATCCAACCGCCGCAACAATTTCGGCCCTGAAGCTGGAGCGGCAGGTGTAGGGGCTGCGGCTGGCGGTCTCTATGTCGGAGAGTACGCGTCTCAGGAGAAGCAGCAACAGTTGCAAGGTGCCAATGGCGGTCCCCGTCAATACCAGGGCGGCGGATACCAGAACAGGACCACTTTCCAAGAGCCGCAACAGCAGTATTATCAGCAGCAGTCCTCGCCTGGGCGGGCCCTTTCTCCAACTCCCCGTCCCCATTCTGCCTATGGCAACCGCGGGCTCGGCGCGATCAACGAGGGTCAAAACGACGGCTATGCGAATGGCAGGGAGTCTAGAGCTGAAGGACAGCTTGGTAGGAGCGGCACTGTGTTGAGCAGATCCGGTACTCTGGAGAGAAGGAATGGTACTTTGACCAGAAGCGGGACTGTCGGAAGTCGAAGAGGCGCGTTTGGAAAGGGTACCGGGACGAGCATTGGGACTCAGCCGGAGGAGGTGCTGGCTCGAGAGTGAGTCTTTTGTATTCTCATGAATAAAGTCGAACTAATGCCTTGATAGTGATATTCACACCCGGGCCGAGCTCTCTGAACGGGTCTTGGACGAAGACACTCTCCGAAGGTTGTCTACCATGGGTACGTTACTCGCATCTATATTTACAGCTGGCTGATTTCCTTGCAGAGAAGAAAGACGCCAAGCGCCTCGCCAAGGTGATTAGGAAGGAAGGCAAAGAAGAAGCCAAGTCTGTCCAAGCCTCCATCAAGGAGCTCGAACGCATGGTCAAGCTCCAGAAAGAGGCTGCCGCTGCAGAGCGCAAATCTCAGCTCCGCCTATCCAAGTGGACCGCCAGGGAACACAAGGCGAGACTGAGGTTTTTGAAGGAAAAGGAGAGGTATGAGAAGCTGGAAGGTGAATTGAGGAATGCGGAGAACGACTATGAAGAGAGGAGGGATCACGCCGCTGGGTTGACCGCACAGGTGGCTGAAAAGGTGAGAAACAAGATCGATCCCAGCGACAGGCAGGAAGCTGACTCTTGATGTAGACCTCCGACCTCGACTTGCTCCGAGGCCAAAAGGCCGCCGACGATCGTGAGAGAGAGGTCAAGCTTCTGGCTCTCAAGAACCCCGCTCACAGCTAAGTCTTTGTTTTGTCATATCTTGAAGTTTAATCTAGGATGGTCGACAGTATATATTGGTGTGTAGTCTTCTTTAATATAATTGTGGCAAATAATTGTGATGCATGCACACGCGCTTCAGAAAAAAGTAATCAAGACAGTACAGTCAACATTCTTCGCATTGCAGTGAGAGGGCATATGATGCATCCAAAGTATAGCAATAACATGTTTCTTTTTTCAAGCATGACAAGACATCAATCGCGTTGCTGTTCTACAAGCTATTGACAGAGATGATGACAGATGACGGCGACGCGCCCAGGACTCCCACTCGCTCATCCCGGCTCCTCTACTTCTAACGGGGGCCTCGAGAGCCGGGGAGATAGTGAGTCGATCTGTCTGATCGCTTCTCGATAGCCTTTCTGGCTTGGAGAGCGGTAAGAGCAGCTGAAAGGCCTGTAAGCACATGTCCCATGAAACACACGGAACTTTACTCACCACCAACACCACTGCCGTCCTTTGCCAAACCGATGCTCACTCGCTCGGCAGTCTCCTTGCCGAGAAGAAGGGTGATGGTCTCCAGCAGTCGCTCGTTGAACCTGGGGACAAACTCGGCCACACTGCCGTCCACACCAATGTCAATCTTCTTGTTCTCCTCGCCCTCCACAGTCTTGTCGTTGCCAGTGTGCTGGATGACAGCAGCGAGGGCAACGGCAGAGAGCTGACAGGCACGGTCTGCGACAAGCTTGACAGCCCACTTGACGATTTTGATGTCTTCGTGTGTGATTTCTTTGGTGGGTACTTTGAGGATGGAGTGGATGACCTTCTTGACGTCCTCATCTGACTCGGCAGCTTCAATGCCAGAAACAAAGGCAGCGTCGAAGCCGTTGTGTTCATTGAGGATTTCAGTGGAGTTGCCCCCAAACAGAAGGGACAAGTCAATCATGTGGAGGAGGATGTTTCGGGTGATCTCGCCGAGGTCTGATGATTTGTCAGCACGTGTGCGCCTGGAAGCCCGCCTTGATACCCACACATTCCGGAGATCATCTTTTCGAACGCCTGCTTTCGACTATAGCTCCATCAATACTCATTCGGATTGTATGTGGTGTTTGTACTCACGGGTTGATACTTTGTCGGTCCAGCTTGTTGTCATAGATGGACACTGGGAGGCACCGTCTCTGAAACAAGCTTTAGCGATTGTCCGTCGCAGACGACATACAACATACCTTGTTGTCAAACGCTCCCCACTCTGTGTTGACGACCATGTACTCTCCAGCATGCTCTCCGCCCTTTTCAGATTCCGCAATCTTCTCCTCACCCAATTTTGAAATGTCTCTCGTCTTGTGGATGTAGGCACCGTTGGTACCGGTTCCAAAGATGGCACCGATGAGAGCTGGACCACTCTGATATGAGCGAGACAGAAGGGTACCGACAGTCTATGCCGAGGAATAAGTCAGACTGTCGCAATGAGTTGCAAGGGACTCACGTCGTTGACAAGGGCACTGCAGTTGACGTGAATGTGCTTCCGGTCGAAGGCGTCTTGCAAGAGACGCACAACATCGTGACCAATGGCATTCTTGGTTTTGAAGCCCTTGGTCCATGTAAGGAGCTTTCCAGCGTCAATGGCAGTCTGCTCAACGGGGAAACTGATAACCGTATCAGCAACGTGTACAACCTCTAGCCGTAGTCTCTCACCTGAAAGTGAAACCAAGATGCATAGGCTCATTGGCCGGAATGTTGATGTCATCATGGTTTGAATCGATATCGGTGAGAAAGGCGTCGACAGACTCGGCAATGTAGTCTGGAAGCAGTCAGTAAGCAAGATAGTCGGAAGTGGTCGGAACTCACCAAAAAGGATGCGAGCTTGGCCCGTCTTGAGCTCGTCGGACACCTTGTACTTTTGTTGCTTGATCTTGAAGCTGTTGTTGCCTTGCAAAAGAATGAGACAGACGCGCCTGGGCAAGGTTAGCGACATGCACACCCGATGATCTGACGCGGCCATCACGAGGATTCTACCGAAATCTGCCGGCAAGCGAGATACGGCGGAATGACAGGAGGGCGCAGGAATACTCACAAGTTCGTTCCGCCGAGGTCAAGAGCCAAGAAGGCACTACGCAAATGTCAGCCCCTGTGCTGGCAGCACCACGCAACCCGCTGCATCATCGTATCGGTGATAAGGAGACTCACCCCTGTTCGGTACCGTCCGGAACGCCGGTCACGAAGGCGGGAATCATGGCCACATCCTTCCCGTAGTTGGCAAGGCCCTCCTCCATCTCCATGATGAAGAACTTGAGGATCGTTCTGAGGCGGTCCTCTGTCAGGTGAAAGTAGGGCTCGACCTGCTTGGCGATATCGGCAAAGACTGGAGTAGACATGGCTGGCGGTTGAGGCACTGTGAGGTGTGCTGGTGTGGTATAGATAGTTTGGATAGATACTAGATGTTGGTTGGATTAGGCGGAGGTAGGCAACTTTTGTGCGCAGATGCAACCGAGGCTTGTTCCCGGGAATGGGTATCGACAAAGGAAGAGGGGTGGAGTGAGGTGGCTGTGGGCGG